GCGGCCGGGCGGGCGGCGGGACTGTGTCCGCGGGACGAAGTCGTGGCTCCCGGCCGTGAAGGTCACCAGGGGCGCACCCGGGCCCCTTGCTCGCTGGGACGCCGCAGCCCCGGTGGGGGAAGGGGGAGCCCGGTGACGTCAGTGTGACTCAGAAATAACCCAGGGTCTGGCGGGGGGGCGGGGTTGGGGGGGCGGGGTGTGGTGGATCACCTGCCCCTCACGAGCTCCCGGGCCTGCGGCGGGGACCCCGCCGGCAGAGGCTGCGTGAGGGGCCCTGGGGCCCTGGGAAGTGGGGCATGTTCTCACACTGTGACCTTCAGGCGACCTTCAGTGTGGCTCCTGCGCCCCGGCCACCGCGGGAGCCCGGACCAGCCCCCCTCCTGCTCCCCCTCCCCGGGGGCGGGGCAGAGCCGCTCTGGGGAGACTCGGGCCAGGGTGGCCTAGTGCCCCCCCTCGCCTGGACTCCCAGCGTGACGGGGCAAGGCCGGCCCAGCAGCCAGAGCCCCCGCCGGACCCTCAGGTGGGGAGCCCAGGTAGCCCCCACCCACTGCAGCTCCCGGAACCTCCTTGGCCTCAGGAGCAGGAAGGACTCAGGAAGGACTCCCTGCCCTTGAGCCGAAGCCGGCCGAGCCGGTCTTGGGGGGGCAGAAGTTAGGGAGGGGCAGATGACCTGCTGGGAGCCACAGGCCCTGCTGCCTGCCGACCTCGCCAGGCCAGGCCAGCTCAGCGCAGGAGGCCCCATGCTTGCCATACCAGCTCCTGTGGGCCCGGCCCTCTCCCACCCTGTGGCCGCCCCAGAACCCAGACTCTAGGCCCCGCCCTGTCCCACCCGCCCCATGGCCCAACCCCTCTGTGGTTGGCGGCTGTGGGGTGGAGGGTCTGCAGTGTGAGCGGCCAAGGGTCCAGCCCTGCTGCTGTCCACTCCCAGGGCTGGATGCCCTCTTTATAGGGCCCGACCCTCCTGGGCAGGTGCTGAGTCCTTGACCTGGGTGGCCCCTGACAGATGGGCCTGTGTTTGGGCAGAGGAGACCGGGCCTGGGGGAGGGGCTCCCGAGCCTGGCCGGAGTCGGAGAAGTGGACAGCGAGGGCCTGGACACCGGCCTCCCTTCCCAGCCCCGTGGTGTCTCCCGTAGGCCCGTGGAATGCCCAGCTCTGGGCTGCCCTGAGCTGCTGTGGGCCCGCCCGCCGCCTCACACGCCCGCCTGCCTCGCCACCGCCATGGAGCCCAGAGGGAAGTCAGCCGGCAGCCCCAGGCCCGACGCCAAGGCCCCCCAGGCTGCTGCTGAGGCCAGAGCCCCCCCAGCCGTGGATGGGAAAGCCCCCTTGGCCAAACCCGGGAAGGAGGCCCCAGCGGAGAAGCGGGAGCAGCCCGCGGCCCCCGCCCCGCCTGCCAAGAAGACCCCTGCCAAGGCCGACCCCGCCCTGCTCAACAACCACAGCAACCTGAAGCCCGCTCCCGCGGCCCCCAGTGGCCCAGACGCCGCCCCGGAGCCCAAGGGTCCTGGGGACGGAGCTGAGGAGGACGAGGGCCGCGGCGGGGGCCCCGGCGGCCGCGGGCCCTGCCCCTTTGAGAACTTGACACCCCTGCTGGTGGCTGGGGGTGTCGCTGTGGCGGCGGCCGCCCTGATTCTTGGCGTGGTCTTCCTGGCCCGGAAAAAATGATGCCTGGTGTCCGGGGCCAGCCCCGTGCAGACCTGGGAGCTAGTGCATGCCGAGTTCACTGTAGCTGTCCCCCCGCGCCCTGCAGCGCCGCGCCCCGTAGGCGCCCCCAACCAGAGGGGGGCAAGGAGCCCCAGGCTCACCCGGCCGGCACCAAGGGGCCTGGCAGTCCCCAGAGCTTTCCGGGGGTCCCCCCGGGGCAGGGCTGGGTTGGACATTAAAGGGTGTGGCTGCCTCACTCTCCCCATTTCTGCTCTTTGCTTGTAGCGGGGGTGGGCCCAGGGCGGGCTGGAAGGGCCACACATGGCCCCACGTCCTGCCTGGGTGGACACAGCCCAGATGCCCCTCCTGTGTCCACCCAGACCCCCGTGCTCCTGCCCCAACCCCCGCCTTTACCGCCAGGCCCACCTTGGTGCGTGGTGGCTGCGGACGGCCGAGAGTGGTCAGCGCTGTGGGCACCTCACCTGGCTGGTCGCAAAAGTCCTGGGCTGAAGTGGAGACCGAGTCTGAAATGAACTATTGCCCGAGGCTGGCCTGGGCCCTCATTGCTGGGGGGCTGGGGGGCGGGTCCCCGGTGCCCTGCATACCTGGGCTCTGGGTCCTGTCCCAGAAGCCACCGCCAAGCCTCCCCAGAGCACCAGTGGCTGTGAGGCCTCACGGCCTGAGCTGCCCCCAGAGGGCAGAGCTGGACTGTGGCCCAGGCTGCTGCTCCAGTCCGGTGGGGAGGCTCAGGGGGGTATCCTGCCATTGCCCTCTGAGCCCACTCTGACCATGTCCGGGGGCAGATCCCACCCGGGTGCCCCTTCCAGGCACAGGAACATCCCACCTGTGGGGCTGGGGTTGCTGGGCCCTGGTGGGGCTCCCCAAAGGGACACTCTGAAAACAGAGCCCAGGGTGCAGGCTGTTCCACCTGGCCTTCCACACACAACAGCCCTCAGGTCTGAGGAACCCCAGGCTGGTGGTGCCCTGGGGCTGGGGCCTGCCAGGTGCCCTCTCCCCTGTGAGTGGGCGTGGCCAGTGACAGGTGGGCTGGCCAAGGCCTCCTGCCCTCGCTGGGTCCTCCTAGGAGCCAGGTCCAGAGCAGGGGGTGGGGCCTGCTGGACCCTCCTCCCCCTGTGCATCTGGGTGCCAGGCCTCGCACCCGGTGACTGGCCCAGGCTGCGCCCAGGTGGAGCAAGCCAGGGCCCTGCTGCTCTGGGCTCAGGGTCTGTGTGCCAGAGCACCGGGACAACGTCCACCTCGCCTAGGCCTGAGGAGCCGGTGGACGCCGCTGGGGCAGGGAGGCCAGGGAGGGGCTGCGGTCAGCCGCCACCGGAGCCGGCTGGGCAGGGTTCAGATGGCAGAGGCACATGCGGAGCCTGCGAGCCAGGCTGGGCGGGCCCGAGGACGTCCCCAGGGATGGGCGGGCGCCGGCCATCCGGACTGAGGAGGCTGCGGCCGCCAGACTGGGGCCCAGAGCTGCCTGGGCCCAGAGCTCAACAACGGGGACACCTCCCTGTGTGCATGACTCACCCCCAAAAGAAGCCTCCCCTGCCACCTGCCCACACCTCGCGAGGGGCCGGGTGTCCACACCCCAAGAGGCTAAGCTGTGCCCCCATCTGTGGTTCACAGGAAAGGGGGCACAGCCCACCTCCAAACAGAATGGGGCTGCCGCCATGGAGGCCCCGGCCCTGGCTCAAGGAGCCCCTTGGGGCAAGGGCAGCCAACAAGCTTGGTGGGTGCAGTGGCTATGGGGCATGGGGGCCCTGAGCGCCCTCCACACACGACGGGGACCTTGCCGGCCAGAGCGCAGGGTGGCGGCCCTGAGGGCCCAGAGGCAGCCCCATGTGGCAGCGAGGCCTGGAGGGGCCGGCCCACGTGCACCCTGCACCCCGCTGCTGCCTCCCAGAGACAGGCACCCTGACTTCTACACTCAGGCCTGAAGCGCCCCACCCTGGAAGTGACACCCCGCCTCCCGGGCACTCAGCTGCACTCCAGCGACCTTGGACCCCCAAGGGGCCAGCGCCCATGGCCTTCGGCTTCTGTGGGCCTGTGCTGTGTGCCGGTCAGGCCAGGGGGGAAGCAGGAGCCCTGTGCTGCGCTGGCCGGTCATTCTCAAGGGCAGAGACTCACTCCCCAGCCCTGCGTGTGGGTCGCGGGGAGACCTGGGATGGATGGGGTCCACCCCGCGGCTTGTGGCCCTGGGGCGGCCACCCGAGGTCCGCGCAGTTAGACGTGGGAGGTGCCTTGGCTGAGTCGGGGAGAGGGCCAGGACCGGCGGGAGACGGGGGTGTGGGGGCCACAGCCCGGGCGGGCATGCAGCCGGAGGGGCGCACTGCAGGGGCCAGCTGCCAGACGAGGGGCGTCTCGGCGCCTCCTGAAGCGGGTGCCGCCTGGGGGACGCACCCCGAGGGGCG